AATTGGCACATACTGATCTCGCTTTTCTCTCTCAACCTTCTTCTTCCACAACTCTTAGGTTTCACTCCCTTCACTCTTTTAAATCATGTTTTGATTGGTGGATATTCTTGTTATTATGATTTTGAGTTTTGAAATTATGGGAAGCCCTAATTTTGATTCTTGAAACCATAATTTTTGTTGTCTAGTTTAAATTTGATTACTTTATTTTAATTTTTAACAATTATGTGTTCATTAGTATTAACTGTATTAGTGTCTGCATCACTTAAATATCGGTCGTCAGTTTATACCTCGGTTGAAAACGAACAACCATTAAAAAAATCTGTTCGCATCTATGATTTAGTTATCTAAGATTTGGGTCATTTGAAACAACTTCCTCTATATTCAACACACTACGTCAGTCTCCATGCAACAATATGTTTTTTGCTTTGTGATATAGCTCATTGTGTCAGTCTTCATGCGATAATGTGTGAAGTCTGCAATTTAACTCATTGCGTCAGGCTCCATGCGGAAATGTGTTCCCCTTCTTTGTGATATAGCTCATTGTGTAAGGCTCCATGCAACAATGTTATGAAATATGCAATTTAACCCATTGCGTCAGTCTCCATACAACAATGTTGCAAAATCAATAATTTTCTCCATTGTGTCAGTCTCCATGCAAAAATGTGATTTCCTTACCTATAATATAATCTATTGCATCAGTCTCCATGCATCAATGTGTTTTATTCTTTGAGATATAGCTCATTGTGTCAGGCTCCAGGAAGCAATGTTGCGAAATATGCAATTCGACCCATTGCGTCAACCTCCATGCAACGATGTTATCAAACTCCTTCCATTACATCAGTCTCCATGCAGCAATGCTATTACCAGACTTTGTCCATTGCACCAGTCTCCATGCAACAATGTTATTATCAAACTTTTTCTACATTGCACCAGTCTCCAGGAAGCAATGTTATCATCCGAGTTTCTTCCTCGATTTAACTCATTGTATCAGTCTCCATGCAACAGTTGTTATCAGTTTTCCTACGATATAGCTCTATCGCGTCAGTCTCCATGCAGTAATGTGTTGTCAAACTTTGTTTTATCCATCCCGTAGGTCGCGATGAATAAACAAAATTAAATCAAACCAAAACTTACTATACTAGTCTTCAAGCGTTAGTAAGTCAGCTTTGCAAAACTTATGTTATTTTACCTCCTAGGTTATGGTAAATATGCAAACAATCTATTCTTAGATATTGAAGGGTCATCCAAGTCGTCATATCTAAATCAAATCAAACTTTGGCCCACACGCTGGTAAGATGATACATCATCACCTATGCTTACTCTCCACTTTCATGAGAATGCTATACATCGTCTTCTTATAATCTTTCGGACAAACTTTGGAGTCTTCCAATATTTAATAAACTCCCGATCAGAACATGCGAGACCTGCATATTCTCGCACTATTCAATCGAAAGGTAATTAAATAGGGGCAGCTGTCACACCCCAAAATTTCCCTATCCTTATATTATATTATGTAGGTTCTATTTCATTAGAGGTGTTTAAAATCAAAGAAGGTTGTATCGATCCAAAATGGACCATCAACATCTGATGACCCATTAGGCTTTAATAAAAATCCATTTCAAACTAAGGGAGGTGTATTGCTTTAAAGGAAGCGTGAACAAATCTTGTCTTTAATAAATCCTATTTTAAGTTTTTGAATAGGGTTGGAAGAATGTATGAAGCAATTTGTTTTTTTTAAGGGCCATTAAGATTTCTTTCCTTTTGAAAATGGTGTACAAAATAATTCTTTCTTTTATTAAAACCCAATAGGGAGGCCCATTGTAAGTTTTGTTTGAAAATAATTTATTTGTTTGATATATAAAACAATAAGCCCATTTAGGTTTTAATAAGGCAATATGTTTTTTCTTCTAAAGCTCAACAAGATGACCCATCAACTTTTTTTTGGTTTGTTTTAAATATTATTGAAATTGTCGTTATTATTATTGTTATAACATTATTTTTATTAATATCACTATTATTAAACATTAATTTTATTAATTTTGTTAAAACAATATATTGGATTTCTGTTTTTATTTAAAAGAATTGTCAATAAAAAAAGGCTTCCAAAATCGCAACCCAAACTAATAGGCCCATTCCAGTTTTCTCTCTTTGCATTGCAATAAAGATTTTTGTTTTACAACAACTATATTGAGTTTTATCTGTTATATTAAAATTGTTGTTTTATCAGTTAAAAGAAAACATTATTTCATTATGAAAAGCAAATAGGCCCAAAACTCAAAGCCGACCCAACCCAAATCAGAAAACACTTTTTTTTGCTGACCTAAAACATGTATTGTTCCAATCAAAGAGGAGTAATGCGGAAAACTGTTACTATTTGAATCAAGAATCAAAATTGATTCTTCGCATTGTTCAATCATGATTTACACGAACAAGCTTAAATACAAAATCAAATTCAAAACAGAAACAAATTAAAAGTATTTACAGATTTACAAACACATTCCAAATTGTTTCCTAAATCTATTTCAACCCTAATCAATTTCTAATAAAAATCTACAGATAAATTTAATGAATTACTAACCTCCTAAAACACTATAAAACGAACAAGAAATGACAGAAGAAAATTACAGAGAAGGAAATCGTGAGAAAAACAAAGGATTTGATAGAGAGAATTTTTTTACAGATGCGATAGGAGGAGGTCTTACAAACATCTTCGTCTCACGGCTATCTTCAAATTCCCGATCATCACGTTTAGCTTATGGTTTCAATATCTGAAACCCTAGCTATTTGACCGTTGCTGTCCCTTATCTCTGCCGCTTCACCACCATCCATTGTTACTTACAAATAAAATAAAAAAGAAGCGGGTGAAAAGACAAATCGTGAATGAACTCAGAGATCCGGAAAATGTAACATGACTCAGCTTTGTTGTTTGTTTATTTCGTGATTTGTTTTGGTGGGGAGGGTGTTGGCTGTTGAGATTAGGTTTGGAAGAGGAAGATCGTGCTGCCGCCGGTGGATGGAATTTTAGGGTTTGTTGTTTGTTTGAGTAGAGGAAAGAGAGAACGAAGAGGATTGTGAGAGAGAAAGAGAACGAAACAGAAAATGAAATGAATTTTGTAAAAAACAAAATTATATTATGATATATCATCCCATACACGCATCCCCCACGGTATTACCGTGTTCCATCAATTATCACCACCTAATTGCCATTAAACAACCTAAAACGCGCATGTATAGGATCCCCCATGCGCACCCTACACCTGATCCAAACGGATCAAAGTTGCACTTCCTGGGCCAGACCCAATTATTATTCACACACCCTTTTAGTCTTGATCTGCTATCACGTTGAAAAATAGTACCCCCAAACTAAAATGGGCCAAGTCCAAAATCTGGACTTGGGCTCTGGCTCTTGACACCCTCTATTTTTGTTGTTTAATATTAAAACGTACCCCCTTGACCTTTGGGTCTGAATTCAATATCTAAATTCAGGCACATGCTTTTCACACCCCACCATTTTACTTGGATTTCACACCGCCCTGTGTTTTTTAATATTTTATTTATTTTATTTATTTCATTTCTTTTATAATTCTATATTTTTTTATATTTTATTAATTATAGTTTTTATTATATATATTTAATATACTTACATTATTATTATCTCATAAATATTATTTTTCAACTCATTAAAATATTATTTTATTTATTGCATTAAAGTTTATTTTTATTCATATATTTAAATAGAATATTTTTAATAATTAATATATTAAAAATATTCAACCACCTACAACTTATTTTCTTAAATCAAATTAATTCAATAAACAACTTTAAAAAAGGATTGCGAATACATTCGAATTGACTGTGCGTTTAGTCTAACAATCTCCGCTATTCACGTCACCTAGACTAAATATACGGAAAATGCGAATATCTTCGCAATCCATAAAAAACACAAACAAACTGCGAACTACGAAATGAGACTCTGATTCCTCCTAAGAGGATACTTAGGCATACGACTAAAATCGTGGCGAGTTCCCCTAAAAATAATTAAAATCCTATTTCCTAAAAACACGCTTATAAACCTAATATCCTTGTGAACAAGATAGATGAGGCGTGCCTAACACCTTTCATTCGTCTAGAACCGAGTCCAAAAACCTATAATCTCTAATTTTTAGGGTTATTCCTTTATACTCTATTCCTTAGAATAAAAATAAAGGATGCTGACTCTTATTTTAAAACCATTTGCGACAAACCGATGGTATTGTAGATATTAGTGAACAAATTGAAGACATGATGTATTTGTGTTATGTCTTTTTTTAGCTTTATGTATTTATGTTATATTGTATTTTTGAGTTAGGAACAATTTCAAGATATGATCTTGTTATTATAGTTAATTTATCACATCTCTTTTGGCTTTATGTATTTTGGATACATTAATCATCATTATGGTTTAGTAATATTTAATTTTTTTGTTTTTATTTTATAATATATATATATATATATATATATATATATATATATATATATATATATATATATATATATATATTTGTTTAGTAATCAATTTCGATCTAGATATCTTTTTACCACATATTTTATTTTAGTTCTTTAATAAATAAAGATGAAAATAATAAATCATAAACTTATAGGGACCAAAATTAAAACATCATATTATTCATTAAATATGCATTACAGGTAAAACCAAGGATGCAATTGAGACAAAAAAACAAAAAACTTAAACTCATTCAAATGGAAATTACCATCATTTCTGGTAAGTAATAAACAAATCCCATGACACAATCAACAAAAAGCTTAAACAAATTGGCATTTTTCTTTTCCTTTTCCAACTTCATTTTCATCTTCGCTTTTTCCACAACCTCGAGCTTCTTAACAATACAACCTAAATCGGTCACAACCTCTGAGCAATTGCATCTATTTGAATTTCTAGATTTAGTTGATGTGTTTTGTTCATAGAGTGCTGATAATTTAAAACGAAAAAGAACGAAACAATGGCGAAAGAGGAACATATAGTTGCGCAAGTCGAAGTAGCAAAGCAAAGATGCAGATGCGTCATCGATTCCATTCACCAACTGCCATCTTCTTCAAACATCACCCACTCATGCAAACGAACCCTCCTCAAATTGGCACATGCTGAGCTCGCTTTTCTCTCTCAACCTTCTTCTTCCACAACTCTCAGGTTTCACTCCCTTCACTCTTTTAAATCATGTTTTGATTCCTGGATATTCTTGTTATTATCATTTTGAGTTTTTAAATTATGGGAAACCCTAATTTTTGCTGTCAAGTTTAAGTTTGATTACTTTATTTTAATTTTTAACAATTATGTGTTCATTAGTATTAACTTACCAATTTAGAATTCCATGTCATGTTATTTTGTTCACTGGATCCTGAAGCTGGTCGTACTATAAAGAAGCATTTCCAAGTAACTATATCATTGTTTATGACTTGATAGTTTTGTTGGTCTTCACTCTGATAGTGTCTTTTATTTTAAAGTGAAAATGGAAAGGTGCAAACATGTTTGTCTTATTGTGTTTGAATCTTTTTTTCACATTTTTATTAGAGATAGGTAACTATTGATTCTTTCTTCATTACTTCATAAATAATGTGAAAATAACAGTGTCAACATTGGCCACCTGGAAGCAGTTCTACATATTCTACAGCAACCTTTCATAAGCGGAGTTTCTAGAGTTTGCAAATCAATCCCACTATCACCTTTAGTTAGTCGTGAAGAGAGACACAGTTCTTCTCTCAAAGACATCCATGTCGATGTGGTGTGTATCCTCAATGGGAAGCCTGTGTGGATTATAGTATCTGATAGGAATCCAAAGTACATATCGTGGAATAGTTGTCATAAAAGTAAGGGTTTGAACCTACGCATTCAACAAGTACTTGCTGCTGCCAAATCTAACTTAACCTTAAGACCTTCCTCGGTTATGATTTTCTTTGCCAATGGGATTTCAAGCCATGTTTATGACAAACTACGTGACGAATTCGGGGCATCTGAAGTCCGTTTGGAATTTTCGGTTTTCAGTTCTAACATGTTGGAAGAAACAGAAGGTGACTGGATAAATGTTATCGCTAGATCGTATAGAGATGCACTTGTCCTTGAAATCATCCCTGCCAATGACAAAGATGTTGTTCAAAGTTTGACTTTGGATTCTTCTCAAGTAGAGATTTCTGAAGGCAAGGTTGAAACACAACTGCATCTTTTGGAAGACAATTCAATTAACGGGGGTTCTTTTCAACTTGAGCGTTCAATAGATAAAGCTGAAAGTAGACTGCATTTATCACAAGAGGATATTGAAACAAACCTGGGTGATACATTCTGTTCTGTTATTATGGGAATGAAACTAAGCTCCTTGGACGAAAAAATTTCTGAATCAATTGAGTCTAAGACACTTTTATATGGGAGTGATCTGGTAAATTTTGATACAACCGCTTTGATAGCACTTGTATCAGGAATTAGTAATGGTGGAACAGAAAAACTTTTGGCCACTCCAGAAAGTGAACTGAGACAGCGGTTTAAGGGAAACTTTGACTTTGTGATTGGTCAAGTGAGTTACCGATATTTTTTGCCATCTGATTTTTGCCTTTTCCATTTACAATATTGATCACTTGTCCTTTCTATGAAATAATTTACTAACCCAAAGTTTTATTGTGTTTTAGTTAATTACAAATTCAGTATTTGCATTGTATGTAGTTTTCATAAACAATTCTGGTTTTTATTGGCGTCAAGTGAATTAACAAAAGCTTTCCTCAATTTATTTGCTAGATAATGTCTGAACTTCAAAATCCAATCCACGTGGAATTTGGTAGAGTCCTATGTGGAAAGCAAGGCATAATTTGTGAGAGTGTTCTGTCAGAATTTAAGGAGCTGGTACAAATGTGTGGAGGGCCAAATGAGAAACTTAGAGCCGACAAGTTAATAAATTATCTCAGGTGAGTTTAATCAGCTACTATTTATTTATTTATTTGAATCACTTAGGTTTATCTGCAACATTTTGCACTGACAAGCTGGAGGGATCACCACAGGGTTGTTCCTGATACTCCTTCAGGACGCATGATGGGCCTCCCAACAACTAGGAAGCTGGCGTTAAAAAACAAGATTGTGTTTGGTACTGGTGACCACTGGCATGCCCCAACCTTGACAGCAAACATGGCATTCATCAGAGCAGTTTCACAGACGGGGATGTCCCTCTCTAGTATTGAACATAGACCAAGGGCCTTAACTGGGGATTAGTTACACGCAAGAAACACAACTAATAGAGTTTAATTTCAATTAAAAGGGTTTGTTACTCTACACTCAACATTCCCCCTGCCTCATAGTAAATGCCAATATTCTTGTTTGGTTATTTTGCTCTGATATTCACATCAAACTCTGCATACATTGTCCTGTCAAAATTAAGCATCTCATATCATTATGTTGTCTTGAAGATTAAGTTAAGATTTCTTTTAAATGCGCAATAAGCATATGCGCTATTATAAAAATATATAAAAAAACTATGAAGTACTAATTATTAAGAAACTATCAATAAATTATTTTACTATTTAAAAATGTCAAAACAGTTATTGTCTTTATGTATTTTAGGAAGGTTTATATTTGCAGTAATTCTGTAACAGCTGTATATCTTGCTAATTATTAGGTTTATTTATTTAGGATCAATCCCATAATCACAAGGATTTGTTTCCTTAGAACTAGCTGTCCAATTCCCTAAAATAGACTACAAGCTCATGTATATATACAGGTCCAGTGACCTCATAATGATACAACAACAATATTATTTATTCTAAATTTGATGTGGTATCAGAGCTCCCGATCCTTGGGAGTCTCTGACCGTGCTTGTAAACCCTAAGTTGCAGCCTTCATTGCTGCACTACCTTTATACCTTGTCGCCGATTTCATTGCAGCGCAACCTTCTCTACCTTGATCGCACCTGGTCATGGCTGAGATTGTGGATCCTATTCTGGAAACTGGGGACAGATCCCAGACTGCCGGAGAATTGCAGAATGTTCATTCTGCTTATCGGTTAAATGGGAAGAATTTTCTCAAATGGTCTCAACTTATTAGGACCATCTTGAAAGGAAAAGGAAAGGTCAGTCACCTAACTGATAGTGCACCTGATGAAACAAATCCCAACTTCAAATCATGGGAAGAAAAAGACTCCATGATCATGGCGTGGCTGTGGAATTCAATGGTCCCAGAAATTAGTGATACCTGCATGTTTCTTAAATCAGCAAAGGAAATTTGGGAGGCAGTAGAACAAACGTATTCTAAGGCCAAGGATGCTGCCCAAATTTATGATGTAAAGGTGAAAACTGTGGCTGCCAAACAGGGAAGCATATCTGTTACAGAATATGCTAATCAACTCAAGTCTCTATGGATGGAATTGGACCACTATCGAGTTATAAAAGCAAAATGTTCAGAAGACTCAGCAATCCTTAAGGAGTATATTGAACAAGATAGAGTCTATGATTTTTTGGTAGGCCTAAATCCTGAATATGACCAGGTCCGAATCCAAATCCTGGGAAAAGAGAAAGTCCCAGGGCTTAATGAAGTGGTAGCCATTATCCGGAGTGAAGAAAGCAAAAGAGGATTGATGCTCGAGACCTCAATAACTGAAAGTTCGGCAATGATAGCTGAAGGAGGAACAATCATGGTTGCTAACCAAAGGAGAAGCGGGGTTCCCAACATGGAGAAAAAACATGAGGATATCTGGTGTACCCACTGTAACAAGCCGCGTCACACAAGGGAGAAGTGCTGGAAATTACATGGGAAACCCCCAAGCCGAGAATGGGGGCCGAAAGGAGGTCCTCCCAAAAAAGGAGGGCAAGGGCAAGCACACATCAGTCATGGACAAAGTGAAGGATCTGGCCAGCTGAATCATGAAGAGATAGAGCGGGTAAGATCCTTCCTTAGTAAATTGGAGAAGCCTACAGGTACATGCTCCTTAACATATTCTGGTAAGTTTCCACTTTCTTTTGGGCTTAATGTTTCAGATACACCATTTACACATTACTGGATATTAGACTCTGGAGCCACTGACCATATGACCCCTCTACTCAAATATTTCTCCACATATTCCCCATGTCCTAGCAGCAAGAAAATTTCCACAGCAGATGGAACTCTTATGACTGCAGCAGGACAAGGAGAGGTCCAAATAAACCCATCCATAACATTAAAAAATGTCCTTCATGTCCCTAAATTATCCACCAATCTGATTTCTATACAAAAACTCACAAAAGATCTCTCCTGTAATGCTGTTTTTCATAACAACTCTTGTATACTGCAGGACAAGAACTCGGGCAAGACGATTGGACATGCTAGAGAATGGAATGGCCTATACTACATGGAGGATCCTAATCTGCCTACCAATAGCCGCTCTCTCATATCTGAATCCACCATGACCAACATAGAGAAAGTTCAACTATACCATTGCCGGCTAGGACACCCTTCATTTCGAGTTGTAAAAGTGCTTTTCCCTTTCTTGTTTAAAAATTTAAATGTGGAGAGTCTCCACTGTGATGTGTGTGAGTTTGCTAAACACAAGCGTGTACCTTTTCCCATTAGCAATAAGATGAGTCCTTGCCCATTTTTTCTTGTTCACACTGATGTATGGGGTCCTGCTTACGTTCCTAATATCTCAGGTGCTAAATGGTTTTTAACCTTCATAGATGATTGTACCCGGGTGACTTGGGTTTTTCTTTTAAAACAAAAATCTGAAGTTAGCTCTGTGTTTTTTCAGTTTGTCTCAATGATTAAAAATCAATTTGGGGTCGGTATCAAAAGAATTAGGTCTGATAATGCCAAGGATTATTTTAACCTTGTACTAAACTCTTTTTGCCAAAAGGAAGGGATAATCCATGAGTCCTCATGTGTAAACACACCCCAACAGAATGGGATTGCAGAAAGGAAAAATGGGCACCTATTAGATCAAACTAGAGCTCTACTTTTTCAAAACCATGTTCCTAAGAGATTTTGGGGGGAAGCCCTTCTTACTGCCACCTATCTCATCAATAGGTTGCCCACTAAAATCTTAGACTCAAAAAGCCCCATGGAAGTCCTATCCTCATTCTACCCACACTTGGATCCTACAAATAAACTCCAACCTAGAATATTTGGGTGTGTATCCTTTGTGCATGTTCATAGTAACGAAAGGAGGAAATTGGACCCTAGGGCTGTCAAATGTGTATTCTTAGGGTACTCTACCACACAAAAAGGATACAAATGTTTTCACCCCCTATCAAAAAAATTCTATGTGTCAAGAGATGTCACCTTCAACGAACGAGAGAGCTACTTTGGGCAGCCTCATCTTCAGGGGGAGAATGTAAGAGAGGAAGATGAGACTCTCATGCTTCCAAATATGACATTTGGACCTGAAATTGGGACAAATGGCATTGCTGTCCCCGAAACTGAGAGAACAGCAGGACCTGCACTTGAACCAACAGCAGGACCTGCACTTGAACCAACAGCAGAACCTGCACCTACACCTGTACCTGAACCAACAACAAGACCTGCACCTGAACCTGCACCTAATGGTGGAAAATTTGGGAAAAATCTGGTATATTCAAGGAGAGAAAAGGCCATTCTAGAATCTGGCAATGTCCAAGAGTCCAGTCCATCATCACTGCATGAGGTAACACTTCTGAATCCTATAAATTCCAATGATTCTAATGAGTTTGTTTTTGAAAATTTAGAAGCACAGATGGACCAAAATCTAGACCTACCCATTGTCCTTAGAAAGGGAACTAGAGCATGCACCCAACAACCACTTTACCCAATATCAAATTTCTTATCCTTTGAAAAATTCTCACCTACCCATTGTCCTTAGAAAGGGAACTAGAGCATGCACCCAACAACCACTTTACCCACTATCAAATTTCTTATCCTTTGAAAAATTCTCACCTACCCATAAAACCTTCCTCACAAACCTCAACTCCACACACACACCTTCCTCTGTATCTGAAGCATTATCTAATATGAAATGGAAACAAGCCATGGATGTGGAAATGGAGGCGTTAAGCAAGAATAGAACATGGGAACTTGTCACCCTACCAATTGGAAAAAAAACAGTAGGATGCAAGTGGGTATATACAGTAAAGTACAGGGCTGATGGGACCATTGAACGTTACAAGGCAAGATTAGTGGCCAAAGGCTTCACTCAAACCTATGGAATTGATTACTTGGAAACATTTTCCCCGGTTGCTAAGATGAACACGGTCAGAGTAATATTGTCATTAGCAGCAAATTATGGTTGGGACCTGCAACAGTTCGATGTGAAGAATGCTTTTTTACATGGAGACCTTGAAGAAGAAATATACATGGAGTTGCCCCCTGGTTACAATGGACAGGTTGCTGCTGGAACTGTTTGTAAGCTAAGAAAGGCTCTATATGGGCTGAAACAATCCCCAAGAGCGTGGTTTGGAAGATTCACCAAGGTTATGTTAGGTCTGGGCTACAAACAGAGCCAAGGGGATCACACATTATTTATCAAACATTCAGTTTCAGGGGGAGTAACAATTTTATTGGTGTACGTAGATGATATTATAGTAAGTGGGGATGACAAAAAGGAGCAACAAATGTTAGGTGAATGCCTTGCCACAGAATTCGAGATCAAGACATTAGGGAGACTTAAATATTTTTTGGGAATTGAAGTGGCCCATTCCAAGAAAGGAATCTTCATATCTCAACAAAAGTATATTACTGACCAGCAAGTACCCCAGTTGATCCAAATATAAAGTTGGGAAGTGCGGAGGAGGATATTGCAGTGGACAAGGAAATGTATCAAAGACTTGTGGGAAGACTTATTTACTTATCTCACACTAGACCAGACATTGCTTTTGCTGTAAGTCTAGTCAGCCAATTTATGCACCAACCAAAGGAAGCACATTTACAAGCTGCTCTTAGAATTGTCCAGTATTTGAAAGGGACCCCAGGAAGAGGGATTTTGTTCAAACGAAACAAGAGTGTAAGTCTTGAAGCATATACGGATGCGGACTATGCGGGGTCAGTGGTAGATAGGAGATCAACTACCGGATACTGCACCTTCCTTGGTGGAAACCTCGTGACTTGGAAGAGCAAAAAACAGAGTGTAGTAGCTAGATCGAGCGCAGAAGCAGAATTTCGAGCAATGGCCCAAGGAATATGTGAACTTCTATGGTTGAAGATTATATTGGAAGACTTGAAGATAAGATGGGATGAACCTATGAGGTTATATTGTGACAACAAATCTGCAATTAGTA